GATAAAAATATCTCAACATTGCACTTCTTTGTTCCTATCTCACCTGTAACAGGGGCAGGGCAGAGTAGATGCTGCAATGGTTTGGGGTGATTCAGTTAATTCATCATTTCCACATGTGGCACATTCCCATCCCAAAACTTTTTCCAGAAACTTTGGCTGTAGCATCGATGTCCAAGTAAAATAATAGCAAGTTTCATTACAGATGCACAAATGAGCTTCAGAAGAGCAACCTCCACCTCTGTGGTATCATTCTGAGCTGTTGGGTACTCAGTCAAGACCCCTCAGCCTTCCCGTAGCAGATGCTCTGGAAAAAATTTCAGACCCAGAGTTATTGTCAGAAAGTGTAAAAATAATTTGTTGTTAATTATATTCAATAAAACAACATCGTCTCAGGGGAAAAAAATAAGCAAGTTATAAATGTCAATTATAATTCCAAGCTGAAGGAAGTCTCATTTCCAAATACCTTTGACTCCACACTGGGAATACCTAAGAAGTTATGAATTAAGTTCAAAATCTTCAGCTTTTTAGCTTTTTTAATACTTCATGGGTGTTGCCAGGAAACAGAGAACCCAACAGCCTTTGCTCTCCTTGTTCTCATGACTCTTCTACCAGTGGGCCACTACAACAAAGCTCTGTTAGTACAATTAAAATCACCAAGATTTAGGAATTATGAAGAAGGACTGAGAGCAAACTGCATTTATTTTCATGCCATCACAGAATCAAGGGATGGTTGAGGTTGGGGACACCTCTGAAGCTCATCTTCATCTTCTCTGAAGGTCTAACCTCCCAGCCCAAGCAGGGTCAGCAGGAGAGTGGGTTACCCAGGACAGTGTCCAGACAGCTTCTGAATATCTCCAAGGATGGAGACGATGCTTCACATTTTGGAAAAGGCTAAAGAACCTGGGAAGGGATGTTGTGCAGTAGGATTTTACAAAGAATCACAAATGTAAAGAATGGTCACTTCTAGGTTTTGCCCTAATGATTTTTGTCACTTTAAAAATAAATCTGTTTCTTTAGGGTTCTTTGGAGGTGCCAGGGGTGTGTAAGTTCTGATTTGAACCTTGTGCTTTTCACTGCCCAAAGCCCTGCAGAGCAGGACCCCTCACAGATAACCAGAGCAGCCCTGGGCATTAGAAACAAGATCTGCAGTACAGCAGGAGGCCCATGTGCCCTTGAACTCTGATGTCTCCATCAGTATCACCCAATCCCAGAGTCTCTGAGGCTGGAAAAGCCCTCCCAGCCCATGGATCCCCCTGTGCCCCATCCCCACCTTGTCCCCCAGCCCAGAGCACTGAGTGCCACGGCCAGGCCTGCCTTGGACACCTCCAGGGCTGGGCACTCCAAACCTCCCTGGGCAGCCCCTGCCAAGGCCTGACCACCCTTGCCAGCAACAAATTCCTCCTCCTGGCCAACCTGAGCCTCCCCTGGCACAGCTGGAGGCCGTTCCCTCTCCTCCTGTCCCTGTTCCCTGGGAGCAGAGCCCGACTCCCCCCCCGCTCCCCCCTCCTGGCAGGGATTGCAGAGCCAGAAGGTCCCCCCTGAGCCTCCTTTTCTCCAGGCTGAGCCCCCCGAGCTGCCTCCTAGGACTGACCCTTCAGGACACAGGACAGGTCCCAGTGCTGCTCTCAGGGGTTCCTCACTTGCCCAGGACTTTCAGAAGCCTTGACCAAAGGCACTGCTGAGCATCGGGGCCCCCAGGTGGCAGCAACATTTGGTGGAGTTTGTGCAGTTTCTTCCAATCACCAACAAACACTGAGAGTAAACTGGGTGCCTTTTTGCAGTCTGAGCTGGTACTGCTTCAGTGTCCACGAAACACGTCTTGGTATAACCTTTTCTGCTAAATTAAACTCCATTTCATTTCAAAATAAATACTTTTCATTTAGGTGAGTTACAAGCAGTTGCCATCTGGGACTTTGAGGCAATTTTGCCCCCTGTCATTTTTCGCATATTCTGGTTTATTAGACCTTAGAAGGGTAAAAAAAAACTCGTAAAAATGAAAACAATCTCTACCTGCCTAATGTGATTTGGGAAATGTGAATGAATTTTTTGAAGGCATTCTGGGTCTAAACCCTTTTCAGGTGGCTGTGGCATTGAGAAACAGCTCCTGCTCATTCCCCATATGTTGCTTTTTTTGTGTTTGTGCTGAGAGAAAAATTAATAAAGAAAAATGAATGAACCTCCCTGAAAATGCTGTATTGTATTTCCTTTTCATTTATTTCTTGGACAGTTAATAGAGCCTCAGAGCATGAAGGCCTGAGGGATTTCTCCTGGGTACAGAGAAAAACTTGCTCTCTTCTTGTTTTCCAGACTTCAGTCATGGAGTTTTCTGGGGAAGAAAGGGAACATGGCTTCTTCCTCAGCATCTGTATTTCCAATGACTGTGGCAAACACTTGGCATCTGGAATGTCCATTGCTGAGGTCCCAGGACACCTCTCCTGCAGCAGAATGAAAACCCCAACCAAAGCATGGACCCATCCCATGTCTGCTCCGTGAGCAGGGCCAGAGCAGAGCTGGGGATGGTCCAGCTTAGCTGGGCTCATCTGGCTCCAGGAGGGCCAGAAAAGAGTCAGGGGCACTTGCAAAAGGGACTGAAAAGGGAATAGTTGGGATGAGGAGAGGAAAGGAAAGGCAGGATGGGAGCAGTGGGGGGAGGACTGAGAGTAACAGGAGCCTGGAGATGGCAATAGAAGCAAGAAGGACACACATGGGGCTGGAGAAGTTGGAGATCTGGAGGATATCCAGGGGGATGACCTACAAGTCTCCTCTCCCCTCTTCTTCCTCTCTCTCTCCCCCTCATCTCCCTCTCCACTCCTCTCCCCTTCCTCTCCTCTCCCCCTCCTCTCCCCTCTCGTCTCTCTCTCCCTCCCCTGCCCTCCCCTTCCCTCCCTCCCTTCCCCTTCCCTCCAAAACATAGCAGAGGAGGGATAGATTGCTGTTGTTTGGAAAGCATTAATAATTCATATTGCAGGAGTGCTAATTGCAAACCCAGTAAATAAACCCAGATTTAACCTTGAACAGCCCAGAGAAGGGAACGGAGCTGGCAAAGGGACTGCTCCTCAGCCCTATGAGGAGGGGCTGAGGGAGCTGGGGGGCTCAGCCTGGAGAAAAGGAGGCTCAGGGGGGACCTTCTGGCTCTGCAATCCCTGACAGGAGGGGGGAGCCGGGGGGGGTCGGGCTCTGCTCCCAGGGAACAGGGACAGGAGGAGAGGGAACGGCCTCCAGCTGTGCCAGGGGAGGCTCAGGTTGGCCAGGAGGAGGAATTTGTTGCTGGCAAGGGTGGTCAGGCCTTGGCAGGGGCTGCCCAGGGAGGTTTGGAGTGCCCAGCCCTGGAGGTGTCCAAGGCAGGCCTGGCCATGGCACTCAGTGCTCTGGGCTGGGGGACAAGGTGGGGATGGGGCACAGGGGGATCCATGGGCTGGGAGGGCTTTTCCAGCCCCAGTGATCCTGGGATTCTCCTCTCATGGAAGGTGTCCCTGCCCATGGCTGGGCGTTGGAACGAGACGATCTTTCAGGTCCTTTCCAACCTAACCCATCCTGTGATTCTTTGATCACTCTTACATCTCCTCCAAATTAACGGCAAGAAATCAGGTACCAAACGGGAGGAAGCCCAGCTGTGACTGGGAGGTCACTGGCACCGAGGGGGTAAAAACTGCCTCCTTCTCTCTCTAATTGCACCTTAAGTAGCAGGGGAGATGCAGAACTCCCTGTGGGATTGATGTGTGAGGCAGAAGAACATCTCCTGGTCTGTGCAGAGCAGAGTCCCTGCACTGAGACTTGCAGGAGGCGGGGGAGTATTTAGGGCTGGGGCAGGACTTTGTTGCTCTGCAATAAGAGATTTTGATGCCATTGATCCTCCTGGGCAGCCCCGCTCCCAGGGAGCTGTGTTCTCCATGGACAAAGGAAGTTTTAGGTAGAGCAGCACCAACAGAGGCAGCTGGCAGGAGGGAGGGAGAATGCAGAAGTGAAATATCGGGAATTTCAATGAATATTTACAACCACATGGAAAAAAACAGTCAATGTCTCCCAGAGTGCAGATGACTAAGCCCCAGGTGCCTGTGAGGTTTCCAGCTCTTCTCTGAGCTGAGCCCAGCTCCAGCTGGTGACTGGTGGTCGTAGTGGAACAGGCTGTGATGGTGACAGTGACACCTTGCTCTGGATGTGATGGGAGCAGAGCCCAGCTTGGCTCCATCAGAACCTCAGGGAGGAAAAGCCCTGCTCTGTCCTAGGACCCTGCTCAGCCCTCTGCTCCCTACAGCTCTCCAGGAACTTCAGGAAGGTGTCCAAAGGGTCTCATCAGTCCAGGATCATCAGCCTGACCTGTCTTGCAACACTCTTCAAGGAATCCTTTCTCCTGGGTATCAGAGAAAACAAGCAGAGCAATGGGAAGGGTCTAGGGGAGCCACAGTCTCTTTGGGGGGAGAATGGGCATCCCTGGAGCTCTGGGTTTGTGGCTGGGGTGGGGGGCTTGCCAAACACTGTGGCACTGGCTCAGCTTTTTGCTAATTGGGTGTTTCTTGACCAAGACAAGCATTTGGCACCTCAGTTCACACTGGAGAGCAGCACAGTGCTGGTCAAATATCCTTCGAACTCCAGGGCCAGCACAAAGGACTCCATCTCCCCACTATCCATGCTTCAGACCAGCTTTGATCTGGTCTCCTGGCCTGGACACCCTTTGGACACTGGAGTGTATGAGCTGTGCACCTTGGGCAGTCTTCCTGTTCAGTTTAATCCAGGAGGAACCCCGTCTGCTCCAGGAGCGCCCCAAGGGGTTCAGGGCACTTCAATTGCAGCTGGCAGGACACTTCCTTCACAGGTGCTCTCCTGGCCCAGTGCAAGCAGCTGTCAAAGATTTACCGTGGGGGGAATCTGAGCTTCTAGACCCAACCTCCTGCAAGTCCCTGTTTGCCACTGACCGGGTCAGACCAAAGGTGGTTGATGCTTTTTGGTTTTTTTTACAGGACACAAGAGCCCTTGGTGCAGGCAAGAAACAAGAAGGGTTCATGTCTCTGAACTCCACTGCCTTCTCCCACCCTCCTTATTTCCTTCTCATTGGCATCCCTGGGCTGGAGAAGGAGCAGTTCTGGATCGCCTTCCCCTTTGGCATCATGTCTGGCATCGTCCTGCTGGGGAACATCTCCCTGTTCCTCACCATGAGGGCAGAGCCCAGCCTGCATGAGCCCATGTACCTCTTCCTGGCCGTGCTGGCCTTCATGGACCTGGTCCTGTCGACCTTCACACTGCCCACAATGCTTGGCATCTTCTGGCTGGGCTCGGGGCAGGTTGGGTTTCCCTCTTGCCTCACTCAGCTGTTCCTCATCCGCGGTGGAGTGGGGGGTGCTCGTGGCCATGGCCTTGGATTGCTGTGTTGCCATTTGCTGCCCGCTCTGGCACTCCAGCAGCCTCTCAGTGCCTGTGGTGGGGCCCTGGAGAGCCTGGTGTTGGTGTGGGGGGTCCTCCTGGTGAGCCCCACGAGCCTCCTCCTCCACAGGAGGCCCTTCTGCCAGCACCTCTTTGGGCAGGCCATCCCCCCACATCCACACCGTGGGGGCCAATCTCTATCTGCTCGTGCCCCCCACACTGAACCCCACAGTTTATGGGGTCAGAACCAAGAAGCTCTGGGACAGGGTGGTCATCACCTTCCAGCACAAGGGAACCTGACCCGAATGCGTTGGACTGGATGATCCTAAAGGTCTCTTCCCACCTGTATAATTCTCTGTGTGTGTGCCTCAAACTGCTCATAGTTTACTCCTGCTGGCAAATTTAACGAGAGGTAACGCTGTAACTGCTGGTTCAGGGAGGAACCTCCCTCCCTGCCCGGAGTGTAAGCAATGGGTTCTTGCAGAAATCACTTGGTTCTCTCCTCTGTTACTGCTGTCCAGGAGGTTTCATCCACTGTGTGATGAAACTTGGCATAAAAACATTCAGTCTGGCTTCTATACCCTGTGGGATGGAGAGTTTATCTGTCCCAGGAGTTAAACTCTTCACTGCTAAAACCCTTTCACTGTTAAAAAAATATCCTCTCATGACTAATTGTTTTCACTGCAAGGCTGAGTAGCTTCAGAAGATCCTCCTGCAGCAGATTTCATTTTATGAAGAGTGTTCCCCAGACTGTGGAATGGTTTTAAAGCCCAGTAAATCTGGCACTTGGGGCCATGGGTTAGTGGTGGGCTTGGCAGTCCTATATTTATGACTGGACTTGATGACTTTAAAGATCTTTTCCAACTTAAATGACCCCCTGATTCCCTGGGAAGGTACTCAGAGGAGAATGGTGGCTGTCCTTGAAGAAGGACATGAGTAGAATTCAATTTTAAGCATTAACAGACCCCTCCAACCCCAGGTGACAAAACTCCAGCACTTTATGGACCAAGCTCTGTTATCAGTGCAAAGTGAGCAACTCTAAGAGAGGGAGAGGAGGTCTCTGGTCTGGCCTGGCATTTCTTGGAGCTCTTGGTCCCCCTGATCAGCCCTGACTGTTGTGGCCACCCAGGATGTCTCTCTGTGAGCTGGACACCAGCGGGGAGCAGGAGGGGGAGCCCCAGGAAGAAAACAAGCTTTTCTGCCCAAGCAAAGCAGGTGTTGGGCTGCAGACAAAATGGGAAATGAATACTTTTTGGCATCATTTCAGTAGAATACTTACATTTTAGCTTAAAGGTTATCCTTTTCCTCCAGATAAAACAGAAGTGGCTTTTCACAGAGCACAGCAAAAAGGTGGGGGAAGGCAAAGGGGGAGAAGGGCAGTTCATCCAAGAGCTGGTGTCAGAGGATCCACCCCATAAATCAGGGCTGCACCACTGTCTGTGGGATGATGCCCACCCACCACCACTCTGGGGGGTAGAATCCCCATTTTCTGCAGGGTCCACAGAAAATGAGCTGCTTTCATTTCCACTAAGAACATGGGAGCTGCCCTCATGGCAATTGTGTATTCACATGGCTCCTTCTGACCCCTGCAAGGATCTCCCAGGAAAGTTTCCCCCTGCCTGATCTCCCTGGTTGAAGCCATAAACCAGCACCACCTCCCAGGCCTGCTCTGACATCACACCTGCTTCCTGGTCCTGTTCAGCTCCTGGTGCAAAGCCAAGGCAGATCCACAGCAGGCTCCCCCTGGGCACTGGGATTCACTCTCAAGGATATGAGAACATGAGACCCACTTTCTCCTTTGAGATTTCTCCTTTGAGATTTCTTCTCCTTTGAGAAAGTGGATCAGCCAAAACCAAGAAGCAGAAGCACCCAGTGAGCCTGGGAGCCCTGGGGAACCCTGTGGAGGGTGATGTGAAGGCACCTTCACCACAGCCCGGAGGGAGAGGCTCAGGCAGCTCCTGTTTGGGTGCAGATATATAAATATCCGTCCAAATATTTAAGGCAAAGTGATCAGTTTTTCTAGGCTGCTTTTCACACGTCGGCTCTCAGATAAATACCAGGTAACTTTGATGGTGTTACTGCAGTTGAAGTGATGATCATTTTTAAAGGGAGGATGCCCGTGTTGTGAGGAGCTTGTTGCCCTCAGACCCTTTTTTCCTGCCAGTGAGGGCTGTGCTCACCATTTCTCTGACCAGGACAGGCACTGGGGTGAGACAATCTGCCTTTGGCAGTGCCAGCTGTGCCCGCTGTGACTGATGGGTCCTGCCCAGCTGAGACGCTGCTGCTGACAGAGCAGGTACCCAGTGATCTGTAAGGAAGGACAACCTTTGTGCCTCAGCCTGGCCAGGTGGGGTAAGTAGGACTGAAATCTTCTCTCCTCAGCTTGCAGAAGGTTCCTGGGCAGCACTGGGAGCTGCCAGAGCTCTCCCCCTCTGGAGAGGGTGGCGTGGTTATTGTTTACTTCATTCATGCTGGAAAACAGCACCCAGGTTTGTACACACAAGAATATCCAAGTCCAAAATCTTCTGCTCTTGGGCTGGCAGGTGTTCACTGCGCTGCTTTTTGGCAGCACCTTTGGCATGCACGGGCTGGTGGGTGTTCCTTGGCTGCAGTGTTGCTGCACTGTGCGGGTTCTCAACTCTGCTCAGCTCAGAGATGCAGAAACCCCCTGGCACAGAGGCCCCTCTCACAGGGCTTTGCTGCCAAGGCTGTTTGTAGGGAGGGAAAAGATCACCAAGCCTGAGATCGATTCACAGAAAGAAAGAAAATAGAGATGCAAAGAATTTAAAATAAATATAGTGGGGGAAAAAAAGGATTATAAAATGAGAATGAGGCTCAGAGCCAGCAGAGCTGATGTGCTCTGCAGCACCTGCACAGGAGGGAGTCGGGAATCTCCTCCCTAAGGCACTGGAATCCACACGAGGTTCTGCAGGTGAGGGAGTCACCAGGCAGTGTCAGAGCCCAGGTCCTGGTTCCTGCAAGGGGTTCCTCCTCTTGCTCTGCTGCTGGGCCACAAGAAGCCTGAGAAAGGCCCAGGGTGGGATCTCTGTATGAGGTACAGGTCTGCTTTCCCCCTCCAGCCAGGATGTCACTCCCAGTGCTGTGGCTCTCGCTGCAGCACAGTCAGATTAAACAGTATTTTAATCCAGTCAGTTAACCAGCTCTCCGTGCACTGGCACAGCAAAACCAGAATCCACCAGCCAGGCAATGTTCCCCTCCATCTCCAGCAGCTTTCTGACTTCTAGGAGCTGTGATTGTCTGTGCTGAGAACTGATCACAAAGGGGAAATTCCCTCTTGCTGTCTCAGCCAAGTCAGAATTCCAGATCCCTGCAGTGACACAAAGCTTTGCTGTGTGTCCTGGTTGCTGTTCTGTGAGTTCCGTGAATTCTCTTGCAGGATGAGCAGGATCTGCTGCGGGATCTGCTGCTGGATCTCTGACACCACAAAGATGCTGCACTAGGAAAGAGAGCAACTGTAGCTTCCTTAGACCTTCTACCTTTCTTCCAACAGGAATCCCGGGAGTGGAAAGTGGGAATGTGTGGCTTGCCATCCCTTTGTGCTGCCTGTACATCATTTCCACCATGGGAAACAGTGCAAGCCTCCTTGGCATCAGAGCTGAGCACAGCCTCCACAAGCCCAGGCTCCTATTGCTGTGCCTGCTGGCCATCCTGGAGCTCAGCGTGTCTGTCCCTGCTCCCCACGTGCTCAGTGTGCTGCTCTTGGGCTCCTGGGAGACCAGGTTTGACACCTGCCTCGCACAGGTGTTCTTCATTCATCACTTCTCCATCCTGGACCCAGGGGTGCTGTGGGCCATGGCCCTCGACCCCCTCCTGGCACCCAGAGCCCCCTGCACACCCTCCTGGCCAGCCCCAGGGTGGGAGCCGTGGGGCTGGTGCTGAGGAGGGGACAGGGGCACTCCTGCAAGTCTGTTGGCAAACCTGGAACCTGCCCGTTCCCCTTCACTTCCCAGGTTATTCGGAACCATTCCAACTGCTGTCACCAGGGCCACAGCCCAGGCTGTTCCCAGTGCCAGGTATTTCAGTTGGTATTATTAGGAGAATACAGAGCAACTGTAATTCTTAGCAGGAATGTTGTTATTGCAGCTACAGCTGCGGGTAGGATTAGGCAATGTGTGCACAAAGCCGGTGCTCGTTTCTCCCCCAGAACTGTCAGCCCAGGGCTCCCAAGCCCCAGCCCACAGGCTCCCCAGGAGAATGCTGTGCTCTGTGGAATACAAATTAAAACACAAAATCAGTGCTTAAAGGGTTCGAGCTTTGAGCACAGAGCAGTGCCTGTGGGACTGTAAGGAAAAAATTAAAGGTGAGTTATAAAATGCCCCTGGAGCCAACGCTAATGATTCTCCTGGCTTGGCCTCTGCTCTTTTCAGGGCCTGGGGTGGCTGATGTGGAAGAAGTTAAACTTTTCCAGCCCTCAGCACTCAAGGAATTCACGCTCCATCTGTCTATGTAAACAGGGAACTTGGCATTGTTTAATTGGGGGCTGAACTCCTGAGAGTGCCCTGAGAAATGGAATTAGTCTATTTTCTACTGCCCCACTTCTCAGACAAAGCTCCAGACATCTGCGCCTCCGCTCAGCACTGCAGCAGCCCAATAATTAGCTTGATAAGTTAAATTAGCAGACAGCTTTCCAGCCTATTGGGATGGCCTTCAAGCATGAAAATGCAGATTGAGTTATTTGAATCTGGGTGTGCAACCCTGGGCAACACATCCTTATCACCATAAATGTGCTTTGGTGGCCCACAAAAGTTAAAATATTGATTTATTCGCTCTGCACATCACCTGCTGTTCCAGCCTGGTAAATATGGGTAAAAATTGGGAAAAGTCCCAACCTGCACCCATGGGACTGCCCGGAGAGTGGGCATCCTGCCCCTCCACAAAGCTGTTCACGTGGCTTGCTGCACAGTGAGGCTGAGGCAGGAATGCTCTTTGACTGCTTTTCCCATCCTGCTTTTCTCTTTGTCCCTGTCAGCCACAAAGCAACGAAGGCACACCTGGACAGGATGAATCCCCACAGCCCAGTGGGTGCTCTGCCCTAGGGGAGGAGTGGGGCTCAGCTCCAGAGGGTGCTCAGCTCCTGAGCCGATGGATGAGCCGGTGACAGCTCAGTCCTGGCTGGGCTGTGCTGCACAGCAGGGTCTCCAGGCTCCCAGGGAGTCACCAGAGGACCTGGATCAGCATCTCCAGGAGTGCTCAGCAAGGTGGGGATCGGTCACAGGTTGGACTCCGTGATCTAGGAGGTCTTTTCCAACCTCAGTGACTCTGGGGTTCTGACAAGAATTACTGTCCCTTCTCTGTGTGCTTGGGAAGATTCAAATCCTCCCACAGCGAAACTTTGTGGAGAGAGGGCTGGGAAAGGGCTGGGGAGAGGGAGGTGCATGGTGCCCTGTCTGCAGAGCCACAGTGGCCTGACCTGGGCAAAGAAGATTGAGGGAGACTCAACAAAATGCTGTCACCAAAATCAAACAGGGTGGTTTGGTCTCTGAGGTCACTCCGTGCCGGGTAGGGAGAACTCCCACACTTCCAGCCAGGTGAGTCTTCGGGATAAGGAAGAGCAGCTCCTCATCAGCTCAGAAATGTGATCCCTGCACAGGCCTGGTCTCTACTGCAGAGGATTTGGGGTGGAAGGGCACCAGCAGAGCAGGGAGGAGGGAAGGGGGAGAACAAGGGAAAGATGAAGCAGATCAGCTCTGACAAGTCACTCTGGGGTTTCCAACCTTCCTTTCTCCAAAGTCACCTCGAAGGGAGGTGAATCAAACATCTCTTAATATCCACATGCCACTTCTGAGGGGGTTTGCAGCAGTGCTGCGGTTGCCATGACATCAGATTGTGCCACTGACACAGGGACTGTGCCAGGGAAATGTTGTGGTCCTGTTCCCAGCCAGCCCTGGCACAAGGGGCTCATGGAAGAGAGCCAGGAGTGCTGGTCCCATCCCTCCAGTCTCACCTGTGGGGTTGCTTTGGCCCAATGGATTAAGCCCATCCTAAGGGCTAGAAAAGGTGAAAGGATCCCCTTTTTTCCACAGGCAGAGAGATTTTCTGTCCAAATATCTCTGTAACATTACACACAGCGTCAAAACCTGCCAGAAACGGTCGCTGCAGGAGCACGGGTTCATTTGGCAACCTGGGAATTTCCACACTGGTTCTTGGAGCAAACAACGTCTTTATTTACTGCTCAAAAGCAGTGAAGCATCTACAACATCAGAACAAGTGCCTCATCAGTCACCCTCACTCCAGCAGGGTGTCAAACGCGGCAGACACGTCCCAGAGGTGGCTGATTTTGTGATGATTGAACTCCAGCCCCACCGGCTCTGGCTCCTGGAACGCTCCATGGTGCTGCCATTCTGGCAGAATTCCCTCGAGAGGTGTAAAGTCACGCCTATAAATACTTGACAAACAACCCCGGAAGGGGCGGCACGGAGTCACTTCAAGAGTATTTTTGGCTTCTGCTGAGAAGTGAACTCGGGATTTTTTCTGCTCCTGTAATTTTGATAAGTGTGGTGATAAGGCCAGATAAAAATAATTATACCTGATAGTCCCCTGATTCTCCTGCTCCTGACTGACATTTGAATAAGAATTCTTTAAAAGGAACTGCAATCAGCACAGATTTGGTTCAGGTCTGGTTTAGAACTGACAAAACTCCTGAATCCATTTGAATTGTATCAGGCAGCCCTGGAATGGAGGGAAGTTCACTCCAGCCAGATGATGGATTATTCTCCTCTCCCACTGCAGCTTCTCTCAAAGCTGGGACAGCATCACAAATGCTTTGATGAATGAGTTGCACACAGTGATGCTTGGAAAATGAAGGGAATGTCCACAACAGCACAGAGTAATAATAAACAGATTTCAGGGATTGCTTCCTGGGGAAATGGGTAGGAAAAGGCACTGGGAAATAGTGTTAAATTATAGAAATCAGAGAATGATTGTGCTCTGTGGTTGTGGTTCCTCATGCACTGGGAGATGTCACCTCTCCTCCTGGAGCCCACCATGGAAATCATGGAATCACAGAATGGTTTGGGTGGGAAGGAACCTTCAACTCATCCAGTCCCACCCCTGCCATGGGCAGGGACACCTTCCACCAGCCCAGGTTGCTCCAAGCCCCATCCAACCTGGCCTTGGACACTTCCAGGGATCCAGGGACAGCCACAGCTTCTCTGGGCAACCTGTGCCAGGGCCTGCCCACCCTCACAGGGAAGGATTCCTTCTCTATATCCCATCTAACCCTGCCCTCTGGCAGTGGGAAGCCATTCCCCTTGTCCTGTCCTCCAGGCCCTTGTCCAAGGTCCCTCTCCAACATCTCCTGAACCTCCCAGGAGTCCGAGTTCAAAGCTTTTCTCCTGGATCAAGTGCTCTCACAGGAGCCGGTGCATCCCCAGCCCTAGAGGTGGGCACGGCAGGCACTGGCTCCCTGTGGGCAGCAGCACCTGGGTAGGGAATTCTGTGCTGGCTTCTCCTTGTCCCACTTCACTGCCGTGCTGGGAGAGCAGATGTGCACAGTGCTCTTGGACGCAGGGTGGGACTGCTCGGGGTGTCCTGCGCAGGGCCGGCTGTTGGACTCCACGATCCCTGCGGGTTCCATCCACTCAGGATACTCCGCGATCCCGTGATTCCCTTTGCGATCCCTCCCTGTCCCCAGGACCCTCCAGCCCGGTTTTTCCCCGAGCCCCTGCACTGGCAGCGATCGCACATGAGGGAGCAGTGCGGAGTTGTGGAAACGCGCTCTGGCGCAGCTCTGGAGAGCGGGAACACCCCCGCGATGGCCCCGCACAGACACACGGACACGCTCAGGTGATGCTGGAGGCGTTTATTTGTGGGTCACGGCCCGAGGGGTCCCGCGGGACACCCGCCCGAGCCCAGGGGTGGTGGCGGCTCCTCCTGTGCCCGGGGGCTCAGTGGTACCTGCGGGCCAGAGCGTGAGCCACGACACCCACCAGCTTCTGCCAGGCGGACTGGCACGCAGGGGTGAAGTCCCTGCCGAAGTGGGAGGCCAGGACGATGACGAGGATGTCTCCGAGGAGCTGGAGGAGGAGGAGGACAGGCAGGGTCAGTGCAGCTGGAAGCGCTGTGCCACAGCCGACCTGGAGCTCAGGATGTCCGTGCTGGACCCACCGCCGCGAAGGCTCCGCTCCCTCTGCTCACGACCGCCCCAACCCCGTGTCCTGCTGTGCCCTTAGCTCCAAACAGCTTTTCCTTGTATTTCTCCTCGGGTTTCCTGCTGCAGATTTCCCCTCCACCCCAGTCCCTCTCCTTCCCGCCCGCCTCCGACACCACCCACAACCCACGGGCTGTTTCCTTGCCCTGACTTCTCCCTGAGGCTGAATTCCCCTCCTAAACGAACTCACACACTGCACACTCCTCCTCCTCTTACTCCCCAGCCCCCTTGAAAACATTAAAGCAATTTGGCCTGAGAACAACTCTAAAAAACCGTGGTTTTTCTTTCTCTTTTTAGGTCTAAATGAAGAGAATGATTCATTTGCATTTGAGAGTGCTGGAGGAGTGGGGAGTGTCCCACCCGCACTCCAGGCAGGACCCTGCTCTGTGGTTCTGCTTATCTTGCTGTAGGACCTTGGATTTCCTGAAATGCTCTGCTGAGCTTCCCTCTGCCTCCTCCTCCTCCTCCTCCTCCAGCCCACGCTGCTTCCCCTGGGGTTGTTCTCCAGCCAGACCTCTTCCAGGTAACCATCTCCCAATACCTTCCCCTCCCCACTGCTGTGCTGGCACTACAGGTGGGGCTTTTTCAGGTGAAGTCCCCCACGCTGTTGCAAACAGCCCTGCACAAGCTGCCACCTCGCCTGGGACACAGGGATTCTGCCCCCACCACCCAGGCAAGTGCCCCTGGACAGGGTTGTTTGAAGCAACAGCAAAAGCTGCCTCTGCCCACACCACACGGCTCAGGGAAGGGGCTGGGACAGCAAACACGGCTCACCCTGAAGTTCTCGGGGTCCACGTGCAGTTTCTCACAGTGCAGCTCTGACAGCTTGGAGTAGGTGCCCTTGATGTTGTCGAGGTTCTTCACAGCCTCCCCGAAGGAGGTGAGCACCTTCTTGCCGTGGGCACGGACCCTGGGGTTGCCAGCGATGGCCGTGGGGCTGGACAGGTTCCCGAAGTTAGAGAAGAACCTCTGGGTCCAGGGGTAGACGATCAGCAGCCTGGGGAGAGATGGAGGGACACAAGCAGACACACGTTAACGCTCCCGAATGCAGCTGCCTCAGTTTCCCTGGCAGGTGCAGCGGGGCAGGTTCCCGGAGCTGGACGTACCTGGCCAGGGCCTCGGCCCCACATTCCTCCACGTTGACCTTGCCCCAGACGCTGCTGATGAGCTGCTTCTCCTCGGCTGACCAGTGCACCATGGTGGCGGCTTTGCTGGGCTGCAGGAGGGCACAGAGCCTGGAGCTGAGCCCAGACCCCGCCGGGCCTTTTATCCCTGCCCGCAGCCCCTCCCCGGCCGGCCCCGAGGGGCCATTGCATGGGGGGTCCCCTCCAGTGGGAGGGGGAGCACGAGGGGGTGGCCAGGGCGTGGCACACCAGGAAGGGGCCTCTGAGGGAAGGGTTATCCTGAGCTCCAGATTTGTCCCTTCCCCTCCGTGAGGGCAGCTCTCCTCTCACCTTCCAGCGCAGGCCCCGCTCTGGAGAAGGGGCTGCAGGAGCCCTGGGGGATGGTCCATGAGCACTGAACATGGGCTGGGCTCAGGGGGGGTGAGCTTTGTGCCTCAGCTCTCCCAAACACCGGGCTCTGCCTTCCCTCAGTGAAATGAGGAATGTCCAGGCCAAAATCCAGCCTGTGGCACAGCGATCCCCAGGGGTTTGTCCCCAGCAGACTGTGCAGGTCCTGCCTTGTCCCAGGACTCCCTGCATCCCCAGGAGCTGTGGCAGTGCTGGAGCTGTTCAGAAGATGCTCAGGCTCTGCAGCCAAAATCTGCATTAGCCCCATTTTCCTCCTTCTGTAACAGAACTTGATTTATTTGTGCCTTTTGGAGCAGGAGGAATCATCGTTGCACTTCAGGCTCCAGCTTGAGCTGGGCTTCCATGAGCCTCGTTGGTCCCTTCCAGCTCAGGATATTCTCTGGTAGAATCACAGGCTGGTTTGGGTTGGAGGGACATTAAGGGTTGTCTTGTTCCACCCTCCTGTCGTGGGAAGTTCACCCAGGTGTTCTCCCTCAGATGTTAAAGGAGCAGCCCAATGCAGTGCTGCTGCATGGGGAGCAAGGACCAAACAGGACCATCCTGCTCATCCCAATTCTGCTTCCAGCCACACACAAAGGGTAGGTGAAACAGGTTTGTCACTGCAGGCCCTGCTGTGGGGCTCAGCTGAGGGATGTCCAGCCTGGGGGGAGCCCAGAGTGTTCCCCCTCAGAACCTGCCAAATTCCACAATCCGCCCCCATCCAGCCAGGCTGGGCACCCAGGAGGAGACATTTGGGCTCTCCTGAGCACACTGGGATGATGCATCCAAGCCAGGAGCAATGCCCTGGGGAGCTCTCCTCTTTTGTTTCCTGCATAAACCCCAAGAATCACCACCCCTGCTGAAAGCACAGGGGCTTTGATGCTGATCCCAAGGCACCCAGAGCAATCTGCAGTTTTCCTGTTGTTTTCCACAGGATTTGGACTGGGCCAGGGAAGAGCTGGGGACAGGTGAGGGGATGGCTGGGTGGCCAGGCTGCAGCAGAGCTGCAGGGCTGCCCAAGCTGCTCTCCAGACACCAGCCCTTGCCTTCCTCCACAGACCATCTCCTGCTAAGTGTCTTCTGGACTGAAAATATGGCAGGAAAATCAATTCAAAGAAAGAAAATACCGAGGGACCTTTCCAGCCTGACAACATCTCTTTCCCTCTCTAGTTGTAGCCTTTTTTTAATGGAATAGGGATGAATAATCTTCATTAGATTTGTGTATGTCTGCCTTTTCTCCAGAAAACCCAGTGTGGGGGCTGGAGCACAATGACAAATCAAGTCAAGCCCAGCCCAGCCACAGTCAGGGAGAAGAGAACAGGCAGGGAAAATGCTACCAGGCACCAGTGCTCCCCCTCCTGCACCCCCTTATCAGCCCTGCCAGGACCTGGGTGCTGCCAGCACTGCTCCAGGCATCCCCCAGGGGTGCTGGCACCCACGGGGACGTTCTGACATCCTGAAATGGGAGCAGGGAAAGCAGCACGGGCAGAGGACATCCCACAGGATCTGTGTGCTGGGGGACAGGGATTCAGGAGTCATCCCCCAGGCAGGGATGGGGAGGAGAGTGAAGCCGTGGGCAGCACCAGTGGGACTGTTCCTGTCCTGTCATGCCCCTTCTCCCTGCTCCCAGGAAGGGGGACCCCAAAAGGAACACCAGGAGCTCCAGCCCAGCCCTGTCCTGCTGGGCTGATCTTTAGGGTTTGACCTGAGAGGTCTGTTTGGCTCATAGGGTCATGGAATCATGGAGAAGTTTGGGATGGAAGGGACCCTAAAGCCCATCCAGTGCCATGGACACCTTCCACCAGCCCAGGTTGCTCCAAGCCCCATCCAACCTGGCCTTGGACACTTCCAGGGATCCAGGGGCAGCCACAGCTGCTCTGGGCAACCTGTGCCAGGGCCTGCCCACCCTCCCAGGGAAGGATTCCTTCCCTATATCCCATCTCTCCCTGCCCTCTGGCAGTGGGCAGCCATTTCCCCTTGTCCTGACCCTCCATCCCTTGTCCAAAGTCCCTCTCCAGCTCTCTAGTCTTTGCTACCCCCACATACCTCACTTACAGCAGAACTACTTATGCCAATAATTCAGTCATTCCCTCCTGAAGTCTATGAACAATCATATTCATACAAAACTATTAATATCTATCATGAAACCTATGAAAAATCATTAAGAACGGGGGGGTTCTGGTGCTGCTGTGCCTGCCCAGCCTCCCTGCAGGGAGAAAAACCCTTTGGGACTCACTGCAATTTGTCTTCTCACCTTCTCAGTGTCTGCCTTGACAGCAGGAACAAAAAGCCTCTTCCTTTGGCAGACGTGTGTGAGAAAGGGCATTTATGGGTCACTGAGGGTTTTTAACACCCTCCTGTGGGTCAAGGCAGAGTGGAGTGCCCAGAAACGTGGCTGAAGCAGGATTAGGCCACAGTGCAGAGATCCTGGGGTAAAATAGCTTTACTCAATGTTTCCCCTTAGAAATTGAGCAGGTCCCTTCAGTTCCCCACCACTTTTGCTGCATCACCCTTCAGATGGTGCTTCCCGTGCCAAGAACGAGCTCTGCCCAAACGAGTCCTGCTCTGCAGACACCCAAACCCACCCAACACTGCGTGTGCAGAGCACTGATCGATCCCTGCACCCAGAAAATGATGAAGTCTCTGCTCTTGGCAGGATCGGAACCCCCCAAATTGCAGCGTGGGCGGCGCAGGGTGGGAGGGAAGTGAATAAACAAAGTCTGGACAGGCCTTGATAGCAAAATGTTTATCTCAAACCTGCCCCCACCCAGCTGGCTGCTGGGCCAGTGTGACTCAGCTGATTTTGGGTGGGTTTGATGCCAGGGATGAGCCAGGGTAGATTAAAGTCTTCAATTTGTTTATCCTCCTCCCCCAAAAATATGAATCCTCCCAATTCCCCTTGTCTGGGAGAGACAGGCAGGTTTCACAGTGAAATTCTGAGTAGTTCCTCGGTGCAAACTCCCCAGTGTGTGACCACGGGGGTGGCAGGGCTGGATCGACCCAGTATCCCAAAAGTACAATTTCCAGAGGCAAATCCCACACAAACCACCCAGCTCACACACGACAGAGGCAGGGGGGATTTTCTGGGACCCTGCTCCCACTGACACCCCAGCCTGCCTGTGTCCCGTGTCCCCCAGTGCCCCCCCAGCCCTCCAGCCCCTCAGGGACACTCAGACTCCGTGGAGGCTTCACAGGATGAGCTTTATTTGGCTGTTGGAAGCGGCAGCGGGTTCAGGACACGAGGCTGCCGGGGCTTTCCCGAGCTCTTTAGTGGTATTTGCGGGCCAGGGCGTGGGCCACCACACGCACCAGCTTCTGCCAGGCAGCCTGGCACTCGGGAGTGAAATCCTTGCCGAAGTGGGCGGCCAGGACGATGATCAGGATGTCACCCAGGAGCTGGGGGGACAAGAGCACACTCAGGTCAGCAATGCCCCACACGAGCACTCACATGACACCCAGGGAAGCCTCCAGGAAATTTGTAGCCTTGAAAACCTCCCTGAAGTCCTTTTTAAGATGCACCTTGAACCTGGTCTCTGCTCTTAAACCTCCAAAGGTTCAGGTTCTGATACCCTCTGGGAAGAGTAACTGAAAATTCTCCAGAAATTTTGTTGATTAAATTTTTCTTTCTCCCTTTTGGCTCCATTTGGGAGTTTGTCCCAAGTAGAAGACCCAGCTGAGCTCCCAGTGTGGCAGGGAGGTGGCACTGGGCACCTCGGAGCACCCTGGCACGAAAAACGAGCTCATGCTGACATGGGGGGATCTCTGCCAGTCCTGGGAAGACATGTTGGGCTTAATTCCCCACTGGGGGACTCTGAGCTGCACAAACACAGGAGCCAAAGCTCTCTCTCCCTCTAGATCTTCTTTTGCTTTTGACATCCAGCTCTCCTCACTCATCTTTCCCTTCTCCTCCAGGCCAACCTTCACTCTTGCTCCTTCGCTTTCCCCTTGGCTCAAACCTCTTCCTGTTTAACAACTGTTTCTCTTTGCTCTCCCCATCCCTTCCTGCACCGAAACCACCTCCACAACCCCTTCCCGTCCCCCATGCACCCTCCCCTGCACCCTCTCACCAGGCAGCAGGTTGGTCCCTTCCCTCTGTCCCTCTGCCTCTCCCCCTCGCTCCAAACACCAGCCCCGTTCCTCCTGCAGCACCACATCTGGGGTAAATCCCTGCCAGGGTGGGGATGGGGTTAGGGGGGACGCCGCGCTGGGGGGACGGAGCCCCCGCTCGGGGCAGGGCTCACCCTGAAGTTCTCGGGGTCCACGTGCAGCTTGTCACAGTGCAGCTCGGACAGCTGGGCGAAGGTGTTCTTGATGCTGTCCAGGTTCTTGACGGCGTCCCCGAAGGAGGTGAGCACCTTCTTGCCGTGGGCACGCACCATGGGGTTACCCAGGATGGCGGTGGCGCCAGACAGGTTCCCAAAGGAAGCGAAGAACCTCTGGGTCCAGGGGTAGACGATCAGCAGCCTGGGGAGAGACACAAGCAGACACAGGTCAGGTAATGCTCCTGTGGTCAGGGTGGTCTCTGTCCGGGTGCAGCGGGGCAGTTCCCAGAGCTGGACCTACCTGGCCAGGGCCTCGGCACCGCAGTCGGCGACATTGACCTTGCCCCAGAGGCCGGTGATGAGCTGCTTCTCTTCAGCTGTCCACTGCACCATGGCGTCGGCTGGAGGGCTGCGTGTGGCAGGGCTGGAGAAGGCTCTGGCTCCCGAGGGATCGCACGCTGGCCAGCGGCTTTGCCAGCCCTGCCTTTATACTCTGTGCTGGGCCCCTCCTCCTGCCCGTGCACCCCTTCATTGGCTGCGCCCCCGGGGGGGCCCCGCGGCCCTGGCACCCCGAGGGAGGGGACCCGACATCAGGGTGGGGCCCCAGGGCAAGGTGCCCAGATCCAGTGCTGGGCCGGGCGTCCCCTCCATCCCTGATTCCCAGCCCCGCTGCAGGGTGTCATTATCTCCATGCCAAGCCCAGGCCTGGCACCGTGCCAGCCCCACAGCAGCCCCCAGGGACGGTGTCTGCAGGGCTCGGTGCCCCTCAGACCGTGCAAACCCCCGAGGCAGAAGGTTTAGACTTGGGGCTTTTGGGTTCTCCCTCTGAATGCACCAGTTCCTCTCTCTCCTCTTCTTGTAGGACGTCAAGCTTTGGGTTCTCGCTGTTCTTTCCCATCAACTCTTGAAGAGTTTGATGATTTAGGGTGACACTACAAAAACCATGGCACAGCCTTGCAGCCAAGAGAGGGTTCCTGTCTCAAAGAGCCTGTTGGCCAAGGTCAGCAGGGCTGGAAGGGACATGTTATAACTCAGGGCACACCAACTGCCTGCAGGGTGTTGGCTCACAGGACCCCAGGAGAGGTGGGAAGACTGAGTATACTGGGATCTCACAGAATCCCAGGATCACCGAGGCTGGAAAAACCCTCCCAGCCCACGGAGTCCACTCTGTGCCCAATGCCCCCTTGTTCCCCAGCCCAGGGCACTGAGTGCCACGACCTTCCTTGGACACCTCCAGGGGTGGGGACTCCACCACCTCCCTGGGCAGCCCCTGCTCGTGCCCCTGGGCAGCCTGAGCACCCTTCCCGTGAAGAAAAAACATCTGCACAGATGTGCAGCAGGAGATAGTGCATTGCCCAGGGATTTGGCAGCCTGAGGAGCAGTGGCGCTGCCGAGAGGTGGGAGAGGCAGCCGGATCTCCTGGGGTTGCACATCTGCTCCTGCTGCCAGCTGGGGATGGCAGGGTGGGATGCTGATGCTGGGCACAGGGATGGAGCTCGTGGGGTGCAGGAATGCCCCGGTGGGGTCTGGATGGCCATGGAGAAAAGTGTTTGCATGGGTATGAGCTGCTGTTGTGTCTAATGAGTGCCCCAGTCCTCCTCTGACTGCTCAACACAAGAGGGGTCAAAGGACCCTGGGGATGACACAGTGCCCCAGCCCTCCACACTCAGCAGGGCAGTGTTTCATGGAATCCCAAACTGGTTTAGGTTGGGAATGACCTTAAAGCCCATCCAGTGCCACCCCTGCCATGGGCAGGGACACCTTCCACCAGCCCAGGTTGCTCCAAGCCCCATCCAACCTGGCCTTGATAGTTGTGTTTATTACGTTCTACCTTTACTAGTATGAGAATGACAATGATTTAGGCAAAAAAACCTCCACAAAACAAAAACAAACCCAAACAAAAATAGCTAAACAACAACAAAAAAACAACCAACCAACCAAACAAACAACCCCCCACATTTTTCATTACATGAAGGAAGTTACAAATGATGCACCCAATCTCCCTGTCCTTTCTCCCACTGCACATTTTTGTACAGTTTTGTTTCACTTACTCTGCGAAAGGCTTAAAAAATTAAACCAAAAAATGTTACCCCATGTCTCCAAAAACCACCAGAGTGTTTCTCTGCATTTTGTGGTGTTTATTTGGGTTTTGTCCTGAATGTTCCCCTGGATTCTCCATGTTAGACAAGTCTCACTTGCGTGAATGAGACCATGGCTCATGTTGCCCCATGTGTGTGATCTTCCCTTATCCCTTCCCCAGCCTCTGTGTGGCCCCTTCCCTATTCCCACAGAGAGCCAGACACCTCCTCGTGGCTGAGCAGTTGGTGTTTATTTGGCAATGAGAGATTTTTCCAGGAGGACTCCCCAGGAGTGTCTCCAGGCAGGAGTGCTGGGGGGAGCTCAGTGGTACTCGTGGGCCAGGGCGTGGGCCACCACCCTCACCATCTTCTGCCAGGCAGCCTGGCAGGCAGGGGTGAAGTCCTTCCCGAAGGTGGAGGCCAGGACGATGATGAGGATGTCACCTAGGAGCTGGCAGGGCAGGGAGGAGAAGCTGTCAGCCAGGTGCTGCCCTCCCCCCACACTGTCACAGCACCCAGGTGTCCGTGTGGGGACAGCAGTTATTGGGGAACTCATCACAGATCCCAGCCCCGTGGCACAGATTGTGTCTCTGGCACAGACCAGGATCCCTGGGTGTGGTGGATCCTCCACAAACACCTTCCCTTGCCTGCTATGCAGTGTCCTCCCCCTGCTTCCACTGGGTTTAACCCTTCCTTTTCCACCCCTGCCCACCCTGGCTTTCCCTGGGCTCAGATCCCTCCTGCTGAAATGGCTGTGTTAGTTTTCCCTCCTGGTTTAACCTCTCCATCACAGGCAAGCTCAGCTCTTCCCTCCCTTCCTTCCTTGTCTCAGCTTCTTCCCTTCTGCTCTCTGGCTGCTCCAGGATGTTTTTTCCCACCAGGATGTGTTTGACTCTGCTTGTTCCCACCACTGTCCCCTGCTTGGGTCCCTCCCCTCACACATCTCATCTCTGTAACTTGTCTCTGTTCTCCCCAAATATGACTGTTCCTCCCCTTCCATCACCCCTGCCCTCTGCAGACTCCCAGGCTGGGGCAGTCTCAGGGTTTCTCCCGAGGTCTCACTGACTGTCAGACCCCTCCAGGACCCCGCTCCAGAGACCAGACCCCTGTGCTCAGCCGAGGCTGGAGCCCGAGCACGGCTCACCCTGAAGTTCTCGGGGTCCACATGCAGTTTGTCACAGTGGAGTTTGCTCAGCTGAGCAAAACATTTCTTGATGTTGTCGAGGTTCTTGACGGCGTCCCCGAAGGAGGTGAGCACCTTCTTGCCGTGGGCACGCACCATGGGGTTGCCAATGACGGCCGTGGGGCTGGACAGGTTCCCGAAGGAAGCGAAGAACCTCTGGGTCCAGGGGTAGACGATCAGCAGCCTGGGGAGAGACACAAACGGTCACACATCAATGTTCCTGTGATAGGAGTGGTTCCTCTCTCCAGGTGCCTCTGGGCAGTTCCCAGAGCTGGACCTACCTGGCCAGGGCCTCAGCACCGCACTCGGCGACATTGACCTTGCTCCAGGTGCTGGTGATGAGCTGCTTCTCCTCAGCTGTCCAGTTCACCATGGTGCCGAGCAGAGGGGCTGCCTAGGGCTTTCCTGACAGTGAGAGGAGGTGGTACCAGAGGCTGCCCCCAGCATTTTTATACAGGCTCAGCCTAATCTCAGTTCTGGAGCCACTGGTCGGGGCTGGGGAGGGAGCGGGGCTGCACAAGGAAAGATAGCGCTTTTGGATGCTGTCCAAGAGGAAAAGGGGCCCTTTCCCCCTCTGTCTTGGAGTGGACAAGCATCACCTCCCCCCATGCTCAGCCCCGAGCACACTGGAGCTGCCCCAGCCCAGCCGAGGGTTCCGGAGTGGCAGAGCCGCAGATTCCACCAGGAATCCCTGTCCCTACTGGGCTTTGCACAAGGGATCAGGGAATCACACACTGCTTCCTGTGGAGAGAGACCTCAAAGCTCATCCAGTTCTATCCCCTGCCATGGGCAGGGACACCTTCCACCAGTCCAGGTTGCTCCAAGCCCCGTCCAACCTGGCCTGGGACACTCCCAGGGATCCAGGGGCATCCACAGCTCCTCTGGGCAGCCGGACATCTCCAGCAGTTGCATTGGTGCCACAGGGCAGCTGACAGGAGGAATAAACACGTGTTTAAACTGCCTGCAAAAGACTTCCAAGGTCTTGTAAGTTTGAAGATCAGTGAGCCATGGGGACTGGGCCGGCCCAGAGGCTGTTTCAGCAGTGGGGCAGTGGTTGGTAACGAGCTCCCAGCCAGGCAGACACTGCCCCAAAGGTGCCCCCGAGGATGGCAGGGGGAGCCTGGCCAGGACAGCAGGAACATTTGCTCTGAGCAGCTCTGGGTACTTGAGACCTGGCAAAACCCAGACAGTCCCAGCCCTGGGCTCAGCCTGGGGCTTCTCCAGGGGATGCATCTGCCTCATCCACTTTTATAAGAAAGAGTTAATTCTATTTTAAAATCACCTTCTTTATGGCTGGGAGGCAGCAGCCTGGCTGGCAGGTTTTGGGAGCTGGAGCTCCCAGCACAGAGGTTGTCTGCTGAGAGAGCAGTCTGGGGACACAGGGTGGGAGAGGAAATGGTCATCACAAGGTGCTGAGCAGGGGCAAATCCTGTAGCTTTGTTCCTGTTTGCAGAATCAAAATGAGATCTCCTCTCCTCCAGTGCACCCCCAGCAATAGCTGGCAGCTTGTCTCCAGAAAGAAAAGCAGGGGTTCTGTAGCTGTCTGCCTGGCATGGATTTCACTGTGCTCAGGACTCTGACCCCAAGCACCCTCACAGCCAGCTGTTTCCTTTGGTGTGGGGGGAAGAGCTCCTAAGTCATAGAATCTCAGAATCATGGAATCCTAGGATCATGGAATGGCTTGTGTTGGAAGGGATCTGCAATATCACCTCACTCCAGCCCCTTGCCATTGGCAGGGAACCTTCCACTAGACCAGGTTGCTCAAGTCATGTTTGATGTCTTAGCCACACACTTGCCTTCTTCCATGGGCAGAAACCTTCCTTTTAGAGACAAACCATTCCAATCATGTCCAAAGGCAGCTCCAGTGATGGCCTTTCTGCACAAGCAGAGTTAATTGTCCCTGATTGCAGCAGGAGTGTCCCACGCCAAGCTTTACAGAGCGCTTATCAGCAGCTGTGGCATCTGTGCCCAGGCTCTGGAGCCAGGCCAGCCCCCACTCCCCTCTGCAACGTGCAGTGTCTGGTGTCCAGAGCCAGCAGGTTTCAAGGCTGTCTTTGTTCCCACTCCAAGATCCCAGAATAGTTTGGATGGGAAGGGACATTGAAGCCCATCCAGTGCCACCCCTGCCATGGGCAGGGACACCTTCCACCAGCACAGGCTGCTTCAAGCCCCATCCAACCTGGCCTTGGACACTCCCAGGGATCCAGGGACAGCCACAGTACCCAGTGCTCTCCTCTGCTCCCCACTTTGGGGTTGGGTGGGTGGTTGGTGGTTGGAACTTTGCTCTCTCACACCGGAGAGGGACAACTCTTACTGGGAAAGTGGGGCCCTCTGGCTCTGGGACACCAGCACCTCACCCTCGCCTTGTATCCCCAATCCAGGCCAGCAGGAGCATCCTGGTGCTGGCCAGGGAGCAGGACACGCCCCACAGAGATGTGTCCATGGGGAAGGAGCACAGGATGGTGAAGGAGTTCACAGGCACCGGGACAAGCACACACTTCTGATGTCCACAGCCACTGCACATGTGGGGGCTGGTTTGGGACCATGCTGGGAACACCCTGGCAGCTCTGGGAGTGCTGCTGGGTGCATCTACCATCATTCTGTGTGTGTGGTGGCAAATTCCCGAGGGTTTGGACTGGAACAAGGTGTTGAGACAGGTCTCACCTCCTGGAATCACACTGAAATGCCCATTGCTGGCTGGAAGGAGAGGCCATGCTGCAGGGAAGCTGGATGCAGTTTTGGGGGTCTTTTTCTATTTCTTTTCCCCCAACCCAGAATGTTCTTGGTGCTGCCAGAGAGCCTGGACCCTTTGCCTGCCCAGCTGTGTAGGATCTTAAGTTCCCTGCTTTATCAAGAGAAAGACAGAAAATGTATTCCTAAATCATGCAAAACAAGGGTTTTATCATCCTGAGACACCAACTTGTCTCTTCTTGTTGCTTTTTTAAATTATTCCTGAAAAAGCACTGCTGAAGCTGAGGTGCTTACATGGAATCTTCCCATTCCAGTGAAAAAATTAAGCCATTAAGCCAAAATGAGTAAAAAAGGCTCTGATCCGTCCTGCCTGAAAGCTGCCCTCACCCCTCATCCCATCCCCTGGGGATCAGGCAGATGTTTCAGACACTGAATTCTGATCAAAATGCACAAAGTAATGGGGGTGTTTTCAGTACTGGTGCAGAAAATGCCTTTGATCAACTTATTAAAAATACATTGGTACCAAAGTATGGATGGGCAAATTTCTGCCTACCCAGTGAACTTCTACACATTTAAATCCTTGTGTGGGGCCAAACCTTGGCCTAATCAGTGAATCTCTGCACATTTATATCCTTGCAGGCATCACAGGCAGAAAAGTTTAGGGCCAGAGGCGTCCCTGCTTGCCCTGCACTTGGCCTTCTGCAGAGAACAGGGCTAAATCCCCCCTCCCCAGGGATTTCAGCAAGCTCAGGGGGACTGGCTGGGCTGGGACTGGGTGGGCTGGGCTTTGCCCATGGCTGATTTTCAGACCAGTATCCCCTGATGTCCCGTTGGAGCTCTGTATGTGAGGAGCACCCCAGCATCACTTTGTGTGTGGAGGTCTGGGACCAGCAGGGAAGGGCAGCAGCAGCTGATGCCTGAGAGAGCCCAGAGGGCTGGGGGGAGCAGCCTGGCTCCCTCTGCCCAGCCTGGCTGGTGTGTGCTACTCCATCAGCCCAGAGCCCACCACCCCCTTTTCCTGCCCCTCCCTTCCTCCCACCCTGCAGGCAGCCACAGAGACACAGAACACAGAGAATTCCAGGAAATGTGGGGTTTATTGCCTGTCACAGACGCAGCTGCATCCCGAGGGTTCAGTGGTACTTGTGGGCCAGGGCGTGGGCCACCACACCCACCAGCTTCTGCCAGGTGGCCTGGCACGAGGGGGTGAAGTCCTTGCCGAAGTGGGCGGCCAGGACGATGATCAGGATGTCACCCAGGAGCTGCAGAGGGGAGGGAAGGAGGGACACCAGGTCAGCAGGGTGCTGACAGCCCGTGGTCCTGCACAGCAGCCCAGCACCAGGGGCTGGAGGCACCCTGCTCTGGGGTCAGAATGCTCTGTGCAGGACAATAGCCCTGTGCTGGCCACAGGCACCCTTATCCACCTGCTTCCTCTCACACCTGCATTTTCCAGCCTCTGGATTTTATTTCCAGATATTTTGTCTTTTTTTTTTTTTTTTTCCTGCTGTGAAACCCCACACACCTGCTGGAGCAGAGGGTCAGTGCGAGGTCCACCTGCTACATCCCCAATGCCAGGCTTGGACAGAGGCTGAAGCAGAGGCCACCAGCCCCATCCAGCCCTCCCGGTCCCTTCCAGCCTGATCTGTTCCTTCTCCTCACCCTCAGCGAGGGTGCCTATGCCCTGACCTCTGGCTTCACTCCTCTCCTTCCCCCCGCTCCTCTGCTGATCCTGTCCCCCCACTCAGACCTCTCCTCTCTCTCCAATCCCAGTCTCCATCTCTTCCCATCAGTGTCCAGCCCCAGACCATCCCACACTTGCTTTTCCCTCTCCTCCCATGCCTGCCAGCCTTGGAAATGGGGAGATGAAATGATCCCCAACAAAGTAGTCCCTATCCGTGGGGCCAGGAGGTGCCAGGGGGCCTTCCTCCATACTCTCCACCCTCAGCCCCACTCAGCCTCCCAACATCCTTCTCCCTTTATCAAGCCATGCCTGCACGAGCCTCCAGGCTTTCAGAGCATCTCCCTATGTTTGTCCCTAAATTTGTCCTCACAGCCTGGAACCTGGTATTTCCCCGCATTATCAAATGCCAAACCTTCCTCACTCCCCCAGTTCCCACCCCAGCCAACCTCTTCCTGTTTGGTAAATAAAATACAAGTTATTTATGCCTGTTTGAAACTCCCCAAGCGCTGAGATGCTCTGAGGAAGGAGAGACAGAGGGTCAAGCCCCAAGCACAGCTCACCCTGAAGTTCTCGGGGTCCACGTGCAGTTTGTCACAGTGCAGCTCTGACAGCTTGGAGTAGGTTGCCTTGAGGTTCTCCAGGTTCTTGATGGCCTCCCCGAAGGAGGTGAGCACCTTCTTGCCGTGGGCACGGACCTTGGGGTTGCCAATGATGGCCGTGGGGCTGGACAGGTTCCCAAAGTTGTCAAAGAACCTCTGGGTCCAGGGGTAGACGATCAGCAGCCTGGGGAGAGACACAAGCAGACACACGGGCACATTACCACTCCCGTGAGCGGAGGGGTTTCTCTCCAGGTTCCCGGAGCTGGACGTACCTGGCCAGGGCCTCGGCCCCACATTCCTCCACGTTGACCTTGCCCCAGACGCTGCTGATGAGCTGCTTCTCCTCGGCTGACCAGTGCACCATGGTGGCGGCTTTGCTGGGCTGCAGGAGGGCACAGAGCCTGGAGCTGAGCCCAGACCCCGCCGGGCCTTTTATCCCTGCCCGCAGCCCCTCCCCGGCCGGCCCCGAGGGGCCATTGCATGGGGGGGTCCCGGGGGCCGGGCTGGCCGGGCAGGGGTCAGTCTGCAGCGAGGTGTGGCCGTCAGGGAAGAGCCCTGTGAGTCGCTTAACGGGCCTGCTCAGGACACAGGACCTTATCTCCTTCTGCTTCACCCCTGGCTGCCTGCTGACCACAGGCTGGACATGCCACCCCCTCCCCACAGCAGGCACGGACCCACAGGGAGGTGCTTTAAAATCATGGAATGCTTTGGGTTGAGCAGGGACAATAAAACCCACCCAGTGCCACCCCTTCCATGGGCAGGGACATCTTCCACCAGCCCAGGTTGCTCCAAGTCCTGTCCAGCCTGGCCTTGGACACTTCCAGGGATGGTGTTAGTGAAGCAGAAGTCACCTCCTCAGCTCCAGGTTTCCAGGAATACCTGTGCAGGATGTCAGGGCAGGCTGGGGGTGGGAACAGGCTCCTCTGCTCTTTCCATGTGTGTCCAGTTTTAACCCTTCACTGGCCTCTCTGCTGGGAATTAAAAGTCTTCCATGAAGCAGGACCTGTCATGTCACAGCCAGACCAGCAACACCCATTTCCACTAGGTCCAGGTCTGTCCAAAGGCTTTGGATTGACTCTGGGTGTCACAGGTGTTCTCCTGGTTTCCAGGCTTCAGGTGAAGCTGTGCTTCCCTGCTCAGAAAGCAAAGCTGGGATGAGTGAGGTGTGGGACATCCAGACAAAACCATGGACTCTGGAAGTGTCCAAGGCCAGGTTGGACAGGGCTTGGAGCAACCTGGTCTAGTGGAAGGTGTCCCTGCCCATGGCAGGGGATTGGAGTAGGATGATCTTCATGGTACCTTCCAACCCAAACCATTCCATGATTCTATGATTTTATTCAAACTTTGGGAGTGTCTGTGGGGAGTTTAGGTTTCCAGTTTTAGATCCAGACCTCTGAGACATTCTAGTTACTGATCAATACTGGTCCATTGATCTATGAAGGCTGGAGAGGGACTTTGGGCAATGGCCTAGAGAGACAGAACAAGAGGCAATGCCTTCCCACTGCCAGAGGGCAGGGTTAGATGGGATATTGGGAAGGAATCCTTCCCTGGGAGGGTGGGCAGGCCCTGGCACAGGGTGCCCAGAGAAGCTGTGGCTGCCCTGTCTCTGGAAGTGTCCAAGGCCTGATCTGGTGGAAGGTGTCCCTGCCCATGGCAGGGGGTGGAACTGGATGAGCTTTAAGGTCCCTTCCCACCCAGTCTGGGACTCTGTGATCTCATCAGAACCACCCTGGCACAAGCCCATCACTCTGCTCCAGTTAGGGTTCACATCCCTTAGTCACCCAGCACAGCTATACCACAGGGTCCTATGGGGTTTTATTAAGTTTTTTACATTTCCTGATCCTGGGAGAGGCCCTCAGGCCCCTCTCAGCAGCCAAGCAGCCCCCTGTGTGCCATGATAACACAGCGGGAGCAGAGACTGCTCGTGGCAGATAAAGGTATCGAGCAGGTGGCCAGTGCTGCCTTCAGCTCCTCATCTCCAGAGCAGAGTCACGACACACCCTCGGCTTTCAGGAGACCTGAAGACTTCAGAAGTTGTATAATTTCATAATGTAGATCTCCAAAGAGTGGAATGGGATATGTGCAACCCTAAATGCACAGGCAGATATCCCCACCGTGCGAGGCAGGCAGTGCTGACCAGCAGCTGGGGGGGACGATAAACGGCCTTGATGGCCCCCGCATTTATTTCTTCCCTGCAGCCCGAATTCCCTGGCTCTGAAATTAAAACCACATCTGGGGCTGTTCTCAGCAATGCACTCACCTCATCTGTGATGGGAGATTCATTTCCTGCTCTGCAAGGCTGAACTTTAAAAGGGAAGAGATAATGATGCTTTTCTGCTGCATCTGAACCAGCAGCAGGGAAAAGCTCAGGGGGAGAGAGCAGGAGGGTGGTGCTGGTACAGGCAGGACAACATCAAACACAGAGGCTGGAAGAGAGTGGTAATGGCAGCTTTAATATTATTTTACAAAACGTGGTTAATAAAAGCTGGTTTTCTGGAGTCTGTGGAAAACAGGCAGAGACGTGGCTTGTGGTGAGAAACCTTCAGGCCTGGCCCCACACTGACCCATCAGGGTCTTGTCTTACTGGTGAGAGGCAGGATGACTTTTCATGGGGTGGTTAATGATGGTCACAAGGAGCTGTGGGAAAGGGGCAGGGGGAAGGCAGAGGAAAGGGGAGGAAGCGAGGCTGGAGTTGTTTTCATCAAGATAAGCCGGTTCGGTGCTGTTCTCCTGTATTGATCCCTTTAATGGCTGGTTTTATCCCCACAGCAAGTCCTTAACCTCTCTAAATCCCATTGGATGGGCTCAATAGAAATGGAATAACAGCAGGTGAATCAGCCTGTTAATCAGATTAGGGTCATATCAGAGGCTTTGTGGGCTCTGGATGGGGAGAATCCCTTATGGCAACAGCCTTTGACAGCCACTCTGGGCTGTACATTTGTGCCTCAGCTTCAGCCAGTCCTGCCCCACTGGTCCCCACTGGCCCATTTGGCTGTGACCAGTCTAGAACTGGTGCCTTGGATTAACTTGAAGGCCAGAGCTGATTTCCCACCACCACACTGCTAATACAGACAGTAACGTGGGGGTCCAGAATGGGGCTTGGGGCAAAAATAAATATCAAGAATCCCTGGAAAAATTGGAGAGAGGCTTTGAACAAGGGCCTGGAGTGACAGGACAAGGGGAATGGCTTTCCACTGCCAGAGGGCATGGTTAGATGGGAGATTGGGAAGGAATTGTTCCCTATGAGGGTGGGCAGGCCCTGGCACAGGTTGCCCAGAGAAGCTGTGGCTGCCCCTGGATCCCTGGAAGTGCCCAAGGCCAGGCTGGACGGGGCTTGGAGCACCCTGGGCTGGTGGAAGGTGTCCCTGCCCATGGCAGGGGTGGCACTGGGTGGGCTTTGAGGTCCCTTCTAACCCAAACCAGATCTGGGATTCTATGAACCCCAAGTTCAGGAGTGGAGCAAAGCCAGATGTTCCCAGGCTGCAGGGAAAGGGGCAGAGGAGCTGCTCAGTTCAGGATGTGGTCAGTGACAAACCCAGAGAAATTCAACAGGTGGGTCTGAATCACCACAATTTGAACAGTTTCCCTAGCTGGGACTGGTTGGTTGCTCATCTGAACATGGAAGCCACGAATTTCTGAAAATGCAATTTTTACCTTAGACGGGACAGGGAAACTGGGAGAGACCATGGACAGGAGAGGTGTGGGGGCTCTGTGGTGGAGCCTGGGGCAGGCTGGGGTTTTACACCGGAGAGCTGGATGTCATCACCTCAAGGAGAGTTATCTCACGTTGCCCCAGGCACTCTGCTCTCAACACACAGACACTGCAAAATGAATCTCTGCTGTAACAATAAACTAACAGAAAACCTCACTGCAGGTCACATTAATTCCTCTCTGTCCCTAATGAAGTTCTCTCATTTCAGGATCCAGGCTTAACCCCTGATATCTTTAGGTCTGACTCCAAGGGGTGTGGAGCACTCCTTGCTCTGACTGCTCCAGCCTGCATTTCGTGTCGTGTAATTGTAGAATCATGGAATATCCTCAGTTGGAAGGGGCAGAATCACAGAATTCCAGAGTCACTGAGGTTGGAAAAGCCCTCCCAGCCCATGGATCCCCCTGTCCCCACCTTGTCCCCAGCCCAGAGCACTGAGTGCCACGGCCAGGCCTGCCTTGGACACCTCCAGGGCTGGGCACTCCAAACCTCCCTGGGCAGCCCCTGCCAAGGCCTGACCACCCTTTGTATGAAATTCTTCCTAAAAAGGACCCACAAGGACCATCATGTCCAACTCCTGGCCCTGCTCAGGACCACCCCAAGAATCCCACCACATGCCTCACTTCTGACACAAACATGTTTTAGCTGACTTAGAGACTTTCACTCTGTTATTTTAATTTTATAAGAAATCTCCTGGGTCTGAAATGTGGGTCTTGGGTGACACTGCTGGAGTTTGGGGGCTGGATGCAGCAGAAATGCCCCAAGGACCTCGTGGGCACAGCAGGAGACGTGCCCTGACCCTGTTCATCTGTCCCTGTATCCCTGCAAAGGGATCCACCAGGATGTGCTCAGCCCTAAGGACAGTCCTGTGGGCTCTGGGGTTCAGTGGAGTGAAGGTATGAGAGGCACAAGGTCAGACAGGAGAGTCAGGATATCCAGGGAAAAGCTAGAATTTAATTGGACATCTTCTGAGTTATCCCTCCCCACAAACCCACCCAGAAACAGGCAAAAGCATTTCCTTCATTCCAGACAAGCTGTCTCCAGGACAGGCTCACTGCGGGCAGGAGTTTTGCTTCATGATTTGCTCTCAGCTCCTGCTGGGGTTCCATCTGCTCAGCACGGGACAACTCGGGCCCCTGGCAAGAGGGTCCAGCCTGTGGCTTCCACCAGCCCCTCAGCCCTGGGCTGCAAAGGAGCCCACACGAGCCCCGGGCTGGAGGTGACATTGGAGGGGACAACTCAAGGGAGGGACAGGGTCGGCAGGGGAAGGAAGGGAGGGCAAGAGCAATGGTGTTGAGGGTTTCCTGGCTGTGACCAGGTGGGAAATAGCATCACAGCAAAGCACTTGCACACGCTGGGGCTCCCCTGGCTCTGCAGTGCTCGGGCTGCTGTCACATTCCCGGCAGGACCCCGAGCTATCGGCCCGGCTGGGTCCCCCCCCGCCCTGCCGAGCCCAGCTGCCCCTGTATCGCCCGCGGGCAGGGCTGGCCCCTCCGCCCTGCGAGCCCGATATCCCCTCCCCGACAGCTCCTCCCCGATAGCCCTCGCCTCCCTCCTGCGGCCCCAGATAAACCCCAGCGCCCGGCCGGGCTCCAGATGGGCCGGGCTGTTTGCTGCCCTGGCACAGAGAAATGGGGTGGGGGCCGGGGGGCACTGGGGCCGGCTCTGCTGCCCCCGGAGCACGGACAGACCCACGGACAGACCCCCATCCTCACATCCAGCTGCACCAGTGTGCAGCCCTGGCATGGAATCACGGAATCCCAGACTGCTTTGGGTTGGGAGGGACCTGAAAGCCCATCCAGTGCCACCCCCTGCCACAGGGACACCCCTGCCATGGGCAGGGACACCTTCCACCAGCACAGGGTGCTCCAAGCCCCGTCCAACCTGGCCTTGGACACTTCCAGGGATCCAGGGGCAGCCACAGCTTCTCTGGCAACCTGTGCCAGAGCCTCCCCACCCTCACAGGGAACAATTCCTT